TCGTTCCTGGTGTCGAACCGCTCCTTCCTGTTCTCCGGGTGGAACATCCGGCGAACCATCTGTCCTTCTTCCACCGTCAGCCTCTCTTGGAAGGTGTCTTCTTTTTCATGGACAGGTACCAGCCTACAGGGAATACAAGCATTGTATTTCGATTGATTTAGGAATATAAAGTGTTAATTTCGTAGAAAAAAAAAAGCTTTTTTGAAGCAGTTGCAACGATCTCTCCAAGCTTTTATCAGCCACATCCTCCAAAGAGGAAGTCCCTCTTAATAATGTTTGTACAATCATTATAGATCTGTAGACTAGAATTTCTCCACATTTCTTCTTACGTTATAGTACAAGTGTGTGATTAGCCATCTCGGCCACCGTCATTAGTTTTATATTATGTATATTATATATATATGCAGACAGAAATTCCATGTGTCAAGTTAAATCAAAGACCGTCTCTAATTACTATACATCACTCTAACGGTTTATCACCAGCACGTACCGTCAAATGCCCAGAGGGGACAGTTAGCGGCCAGCCCACCGTCGATGAAAGTATATGGAAATCTCAAAATCTCAAACGGCTGGAAGACAACTGAAAAGTGTCCAGGCAAAGTGATATTCGTTATTGTCACCGATTCTACCGTTCAAAACCTATAGCTACATGTATGTACTGAAGCAACAGATGTTGGAAAAAACACTCAAGCTTAGTACGTGTGTATATGACTCGACCCATGTAATGGATTAAATTGGCAGGTCGTTGTCCATCAACGATTGGACAAATGCTCAAATACCCCTTCTCAAACAGAGGGATATGTAGAAAACTAGAAATTGTTTTAAAAATTGAATTTTCCGACCTTGTACCAAAGGGGTTAAAGTCTTCAACCTCCTTGCTTGTACAGAGAAAAAAACGTAAACTCAGTTGATATTTTTTAAATTGAGCTATGAATGAGAACTTCATGCCTTAAAAGTGCAGAGCCTTTTACAATCACAGTCCACACTCATCTTTCCACAGAAAAATTTGACATAGCTTCCTAACTCATATAACAAATGTATTCATTTTGAATCCTACTGAGAAATGTGCAGCGCATATTTTGCTACTGCTGTACTTTGTTTCGGCTCTCTTTGTTCTATATCAGACTAACACTTCCAACAATCAGGCAGCACACATTTAGATTCAAGTTACAACATGTGTATTAAACTTACAGACAATCAATGTGATTAAACCATCTTGATACAATGCATGATAATATTAACACACTGTAGATTGAAGTTGATTGATTAGGCCACCCAAAATTTAATTTTTCAAAGTCACCTGTCCATTTTTTTCTGATTTAGAAAAAAATTCAGGTTCTGAATCAACTCCAAAATGCACAATGAAAGGCATTTGGGCCCCAACGGTTGAAGAAATCCCATTTGTTACTACTAGTTGTTAAAAGTTTTTCCATGTAACAATGCAGTGGTTTCATAAAAAGTTCAAAATTTATTGTTTGCATGAATTATAAACCAGCCTGGTATGTTGACTTCACGGCTCTTAATAAGAGTCTTATCGTAACATTTCCGGCTATCGTGGTGTGCCTTGGCCTGTTTTGGCCACATTACCACGTGATTAAAACATGGGTTGCTCTAAACAAATTACCCGATGATTGATTGTACGATCGATTGATTGATATTTCAAAAGGCTGCTTTTTAAATTTTTTTTTATTTCACCCTGTCGCTTTATTTGACCTTTTGTTCTAAGAAAATCTGAGAAACAACAAATTAAATAAAATCGTGACATTTTTGTGTGTAATCAAGTGATGTAAAGTAAAATATCAATTAATCGATCGTACAATCAATCATCGGGTAATTTTTTCAGAGCAACTCATGATTTAATCACATGGTAATGTGGCCAAAACATGGTTAGGCCTAGGGAAAAATGTTGCATTTCCTGTTTCAGCCTGTAAAAATTAGGATCGGTAGGTAGGGATATCTTCTTTTTTTAAGTAAAGCTTGCATGAGGAAACTTAATGTTTTCAATGTCAAAGTTTAATTTTGTACATGATGGTTACAAATCTGTTGATACAATCCTTCATTAGCCAGGACAAGCAGTTTTTTTATTTGAATTGGAAGGGAACAAATTATGTCCCTTACAGGGGTACCCAAAAAAAGTCTAGGGACGGCAGTTTTTTCTAGGTTCAGTCGAAAACAGGAAACACAACATTTTTTTCCTGGGCCTTTAGGGATTTGTAATATTTCACATATTTTTGTGTTTGAATCTGTTTAAAAATCCATAGAGGTTGGAAAAATTAAATTAAACCTTCCAAGCTATGGTGTGAATACAAGTATGGCTACAGATCTAAGCGCAGGGATGCTGCTGTGTTCATCAATCTTGAATTTTATTGCAGATATATGTATAAACCAAAGTGGGGAAATAGTGAATTATTTTAAATGTAAGGATTCCAAAACTTTTCTTTGTCCCAATGAAATTGTCTCTTGATCACAGATTGGCAAGAAATTGTCTACATCAACATTTAACTGATGTGTTTTACTTTTTTGATTTTCCAGAATTTGCAGAGGACTGCATCTCAAAATCTCAAAAAAATACAATTTCTTTGACGTGATCAACATGGCCAGAATTACGTTGATGCGTATGAACTCTGGCCCCCTGTACAAATGATACATATGAACGGCAACCTTTTCAACAAAATTTACGAGGCCGTTAAGCATCTATTTAGAAGGTACGGAACAGACATAATTATTCTTGTCATTGTCACGAAAGACTACATTGGTATTATCCACTGTCACATTTTTCATCAAGATTTAAAATTGAAAAAGAAGTGTTAAGTGAAAAAATACTCAAAGAACTCAAAGAAACTTTAAAAAAACTAACGTTTGGAAATACTGAGGTTTGGGAAGTTGTTACAGATCTTAATTTTGACCCGGAAATACTGCTTAGAAACAAATTGGTCTATTTCAAGAGGACTATTGTGTTTGATCACTTGAAAAGAACAGAGCATTATAAGAATGGCTGAACTGAATGGCCCGACCTCCTCAAAAACGGGGTGGTTGGAGCGTGGCTCCCCAACCAGGAATAATAGGGGAAGGTCAACCAAAGGACCGGTGGGACCTAGCATTCACCATCACATGGAGGAAAATCAAAACGATTTGGAGACAGGTCACGTACTGGAAACAGATGAGAGCATATTGGAGACTGATGCTGGTGCCACAGCCATTTTAAGACCAACTCATCAAGATCTTGGAGGTACTAGTATGTTGATTTTGCATTCTATTCATAATATGTACTGTAGTACATGGGTCAAATCACCATGGTGCATCATTCTCATCTACCCAATACTGACATTGAATAGGGATCTTTCGATTGATAGAGACAGCAGTACGTTTTTTCAGTGTACGTGCTGCAGACAGGGAAATAACATAACCGTGTGACTGCCTCAAAGTACACAGAACCCCCATGCAGCGTGTAACAGTTGGTTTAAATGGCTCACGTGATGAGGCCTAAGTGGGGAAATTTCTATCTCTGTCAGCTGTGTGAGTCATTCACTCAGTACTGCAGCAGAAGGATTCTCGACATGACGACTGTTTGAAAAAGATCCTACCACCGAAATGAAGATGGAAGGTTTGCAAATATCTGTCATGTTAGTGGTAGTTTGATAGCCTCTACCAGGCTTCGGGAGCAGGCTGGAAAGAGTAGAAATTGGTCAAAATAGAGAGATAACATGCCGAGGGAGTTTGGCCACGGGAGAGAACATTATGATGCAGGATGTTCTCTCCCGTGGCCAAACTTGATGTCTATTGTTTTAATGTTAGCATTGCAAGATTCAAATGTCTTGTACTGCCACTGAGCTCCAGTCTCTTGGGTTCTTAACCCTATCTAGACGGGGGGGGGGTGCCTGCGCCAACTTTGATGTGGGATAACGCCTGAACGGCTTGCGCTAGAACCACCAAACTTGGTGACTTTTCCTAAAATATGGTTGGCAACAATTTCGCATCAGTGTGATAACTTTAAAATTTTTTGTGTTGCCATGGCAACGGGTTTCTGACATCCATTTTTTGCAAAATTCAGTAATTTTCGTTTCAGCAATAGACTTTTCAGGCTTTATGTCAAGCTACACATGCTTTCTAATATTCATAACATTTAGTGTAATTTTATGTAAATTTTAATCATCAAAAATACATAAATTATGCTAATTTAATGACGTCATTGTCAAAATCCAAGATGGCGGACAATATCATTAGATCAGGTAAATACAGGTAATTTTCCTTACAATTTTATTACTTCTTCGATTTCTTTTTACAGAAAAAGGTTAATATGAATGTCTTTAGTATATTTCCAATGTATTTAAGGCTTTATCTTGAAAATAAACTACTTTTCAAAATTCAATATTTATGATCCAAGATGGCGGACAGCTTAAATATGCATGACGTCATTCTATGACGTCACCGGTGTTGCTATGGGTAACATAAATCTTAGTAGACCCTTAATATTCTATCATAAACACGTTATGTTGTATACTATTGAGTTTTAAGAGAATTAACTGTCTAGACGATTTTGGGCAAAAAAATCATTAAAAAATGTCATTAATGACGTCATAATGACGTCATATTACGTCATAACGATATGAAAATTGTTTTTATGGTTAATTTTTACTAGCACACCATCCTCTGAAAATTTGGTGGTCATACGATATACCGTTCTCGAGTTCTGAGGAGGGGCCGAATGAGCCCCCCCCCCCTCGGCCCCACCAATGCCAAAAAAGCCCGGTCTAGATAGGGTTAAACCTAATATTGAAAACAATCTTTACAAACAATTTAGTATCATCTTTTTTTTCATCCAAATTGTGTGGGAATGAGTAGAATTTCCTATTGAATGTATGGTCACAAGTCACCTGCCTTTTATAGATGTTGATCAGATATAAGAACACATTTACCCAAATATGATATGACATCATTGTTGTTATATGTTGACTCACACTCATGGCTGTGTGTGGCAATATGTCTCTGAAGTATCAGCTATGGCTCATGGGAAAACAAGTGATATAGCATCAGATTGTAAATGAACTTTTAACTGAAAAAAATCACTTGAAATTAGCAACTTGATGAGGTCAGATGACCATTTGCGTTAAGTTTAATCATTCAAAAGAAAGCAGTAATTTCTCATACATTTGATGTGATGTACTGTAAGTTTGTAACCATAACATAACTTGGATTTTATGGAATGGTTGATCTATTCTTAATTCTTCAAAAAGCGAGTGTTCTCGATCTGAATATCCTTTATTGACAGTTCTTGGAAACCGGCAACCGCCAACAGGAGAGACATCACTACAAATTCCACCTCACATTGGAGATGTAACCCAGGAGGCAGTCAGACTCTCCAGCTACAGAAACTTCCCCGATTCTGTACCCGTGAGCGCCTCCAGGATGGCCCGAGCAGGGTTCTACTACAGCGGTACCGGCGACCGTGTGGTGTGTTTCTCCTGCAGTGGGGGCGTGGAGGGATGGGAGTACGGTGACACCGCCATGGGCGAACATGGAAGGCTGTACCCGCACTGCGACTTCGTGAACGGCAGTGAGACAAGAAACAAGCCGCTGCTCCCACCACCAGGGATGTTCCAAGCAGCAGTGCCACAAGCGGCGGCCGCACCACCACCAGCGGGGAGGGACTACGCAGATTTCCTTTCTCCAGCTCAACAGGACAAGCTGAGGAGAAAAGAAGCTGACCTAAACGACAACAACGACAACAACTTCCGCCAGCCCCCATCAACAGGCGCAAACGTTACTAATCTTGGCAGATCCGACAACAAGAACTCAGCGCAAGGTAGGGACAACCCTGACAGCATGCCAACCATCGCCCGTCAGAATTTTGTGACTCAGAACGTTAACCATTTGCTGTCTAATACTAATACCGGGTATGACGTGACAGATCCAGGGCCAGGTACACCACATGTACACGAGAGAGACATTGACCCAAGAGAACAGTACAAGAGCGAGCAAAGACGTCTGGACTCCTATGTCACATGGCCTGCCTGGGCTCCCTTCCAACCACAGGAACTCGCCAAGGCTGGGTTCTTCTACACGGGATCCGACGACCGCGTGCAGTGCTTCTGTTGCCAGGGCATCCTCCGCAACTGGGAGGCAGGCGACCGAGCGATGAACGAACACCGCCGCCATTTCCCGTCCTGTCCATTTGTCCTGAACTTCAACGTAGGAAACATCCCAATTGAAGACCAAGACCCCAACCTCCCTCCTTCCATTCAGCAGTCCTCACCCACGTCACCTCCAGCCAGCCAATCCTCGGGGCTGTACCAGACGGCAAGGCTTTACCAGCCAGGACTACAGGTAACAACGTACCGAGCGTCCAGACCTCAACATCCGCAGATGGCAGATGAACAGATCAGACTGTCCTCCTTTCACCTGTGGCCCTCGTCTACAGCTGTGGCTGCACAGCACCTGGCTAAAGCTGGCTTCTTCTACACAAGTAAGTGTTGCATAGTACAGAGCTATTGTCGATATAGGTTATAATATAATATTATTACATATTAGCTGTTTTCAAATTTACTAGGAGGGACCTGGTCACATTGTACATATAGTGGCATCTTTATAAGATACATTTATTTTTTTTCAAACTTTGCACATTGGAATTTCGAGGCTGACATGTTCACTGTACCTCGAAGATAGCATAATTTCAGCTAGATGTGTATAGCTGTTGAAATAAAGACGCTGTGACTGGTAGAACCCTGTCCCTCTACAGCCAGCCTTTTTACACCAGCAGAAATGGATACAAGATATGTACTAGGGTGTACCTAAACGGGGACGGTATGGGCAAGGGCACTCACATGTCCCTGTCATGCGGGGAGACTATGATGCTCTGCTGCCCTGGCCATTTAGACAGAAGGTAACATTGATGCTGCTGGATCAGGATCAGGGCAGGCGCAACTTGTCTGACACATTCCGGCCTGATCCGACTAGCAGCAGTTTCAAGCGCCCCACCAGCGACATGAACATCGCCTCAGGCTGCCCACTGTTTGTGTCACAGGCGGTAGTGGAGGGGGGCTTTTATCTTAAGGACGATACCATCTTCATCAAGGTTATTGTGGAGACGTCAGACTTGATGGGACCATGAAGATAAACCCAAGTTACACTATACATGATAGATATAGACATGAGACATAGACGTGCTCAGAAGTATTGATGGAAAAAAATCTAAACGAGACGTTGGAATAAGGTATCATAAACTTCGTTGGAATTTGGATCTCAAGGTATCAAGAGAAGGAGTAGGCCGCAATCAGTACTATGTACAATTGTCTACTTATAGTTGTATCCTTTGTTTTGGACCAAGGTTGGACTTTGACAAGCAAGCTTGCATTGACCATGCTTGCATTGTTCAAGCTTGCATGCGGTGTGGAATCGACCTTCCACATCATAATCACTTTATTCTTAAAATAGAAAGCTGTCAAAAAGGAAAAAAAATGATCTGTGTAAAACAATGACAGGCAGGCGACACCTGTCGGACACATTCCGCCCTGATGTCTTGATACATTTTACACTCCCTAGCTGCAGAATTTTTTTTATTTTCAGTGTGATGATTAATATTGTGCAATACTAAAGATCTTCAACATTATGACAGTTTTTTCCATAAACCTTCCTGTTCAGTGGTTGCAGACAACGTGAAATGCTTCTACTGTGACGGTGGTCTGCGGAACTGGGAGCCAGGGGACGAGCCGTGGACGGAGCACGCCAAGTGGTTCCCGCGGTGCGAGTTCCTACTGCAGCAGCGAGGAGACGACTATGTGCAGGGAGTACAGGCTCGATTCCCTAACCTCCATGCACGGCAACAGGTACAGGTAGATGTGTGCCGAGCTCTCTTCTTTTGGTTTGTTGTGGTCTACTGGAGGGCTAGCGCTCTTCTGGTACAGCAGTTGGAGAAAAGACACTGTCCAATCTGTCAGCCAAAGTTTTAGATGTGTGAAGATTTCTCTTCCTTTGGTTTGGTTTAGTATATATCGTATAGTGCTGCTTTAGGACTTGTAGTTGTAGGTGGACAGTCTTCTATGTTGACAGCATGAAAAAAGGATGGCGTGCTGTCTGATGATTTGTTTTTCTTCCCCCCAAAACAGTTTTATCATTGTTCTGTGTTTTGATGAAAGTCTGCATATCTATAGTACTTTTTTTTGCATTTTATTTTTATTTTATAGCATTTTTGTTTTACAAACTCTATAACACAATTTTAATATTTTTCATTTGAAGTGGTGTTCAATGCTAACAACTCAACTTAAGTCAACAGTTGATCATTGCACTTTCGGTGCTTTCAAAAAGGAAAAGGCAAAAAGATAAATCAACAAATTAAAAAAAAATAGTTTTTCAAAAGCTTTGTGAACATAATCTCCCTTCTAGTTAAAACTGTGACCAATACAAATATGTGAATGAAACACCCTATGGAAGAAGTGGTTGTGCTCAACCTATTGAAGGCTCATGCAGTACTTGAGGAACAAGGAATCCCATACAGTCCACAGTGACCTGTTTTGTATGTCAGCTAACATGAATTATTGTTTTGTTTCTGTAGATATTGCAGCAGCACATGAGACCACCAGATGAAGCAGGAACTGGTATGTACACTGTCCTCATGGAAAAATTTTGTGAAAAATCACATGAAATAGGTATTCTGATGACAGCTCCTGGTAACACATAAATGTGAATGAGGACAGTGCCAGCAATTTTGGTTAAAAATGTATACATTCCATAGTGCTGGACCAGGATGTATCTCTATATAGTAAACAAATTGTAAAGTAAAATACGAAATTTGTGTCACACCTGTAATTTTTGTGTGATACTCTGCTTTATTTGATACTTTGACATGTCACTGTGTTTTGAGTAACCTGTATAAGCAGAGCATTTTTTTGAAATATATTGTGAAAAAAAATTGAACTTTTGTAGGTCGACCAGCTCCGCGCCTGAAGACCTCCCAGAGCAGCCTGGCTGTGGAGATGCAGAGTCAGGTGGTGTCAGGTGTCCTGGAGATGGGCTTCGACCCCAACATCGTCAGGAACGCCGTCCAGCAGCACCTGCGGGAACACAGCAGCGGCTTCACCTCCGCGCACGAGCTGGTCGTCGCCGTGCTGGACCTCGAGGAGGAGGAGGAGAGGATGGAGCATTCAGGGTCATCCCAGATGGGGAAAGGGGCTGGACCAGGGGAGGGGGCGTCGCAGAAGCTGAAAGAGTTGGAACAACCAGCTGCAACATCAACCACAGCTGCAGCTGCAGGGGCAGAGGCCAGTGGGACAGAGGAACCACAACCAGGGACAAGTGCAGCAATGGAGGAACCAGCAGCTGCTGCTACAGGTATTGTCTTACAATTAGAACTACAGCATTGTTTTTGCTTTTTGTTGATGGTGTGGGCATGGATTAGGCAAAAGCTGTGATTGCAGAGACTAACTTCCTGTGTAAAGTTTTGAATGCCATAATTTTGAGCACACTAGCAGAGGAAGTGAGCCACATCATGCAAGGGCTTGTCATCATGTTCTCCTCGTAATGTTTCTAATGTAGAGCCTTCTACTAAGCCCTTATAGTGTACTGTACAGTTTTCTTTCTTGAATTTCCAGTAGTATTGTGTGTGTACACTCTTCCTCTTACTATCTGCTCAGTTCTCCTTGAATATTCTATCACTCTACAGGGGAGGGCAACAGTTTTGAACAGTTGAAGAAGGACCTGGACAAGTACAAGGATGAGAGAACGTGTAAGATCTGTATGGATGCTGAAGTCAACATAGTCTTTATCCCATGTGGACACCTAGCGGTTTGCGCCAACTGTGCAGCCAGCGTACGCAGGTGCCCAATTTGTAGGGCTAGCATTCGTGGCGCTGTCCGGACGTACATGTCTTAGGTTGAAACTCAAAGTTCGAACTTAGGAATTTTTTTAGTCTCTAAAACATAAAATCCAGCACAATAGCCCTGAGATCTATAGATGGGCAGACATTCTATAATGATGATGTCATCTCTCACATGCAAAGTACAATGAGATTGAGATGCTCTAACCTATAAATTCCTTTATCTTAACGTAATTTAACAGTCTGGGGTTCCTACAAGTAGAAAGACTTTTTTTTTGCTTACCAGTACATGCACTCTTCACAACTGCTTCTAATATCTTATCAATGGGGCAATATTTAAGAACCAGGATAAAGAAGAAAGGAAGATGATGTTGAAAGCCTTTGCTGTGTTTTCAAGCTGAGCTGTATTCAACATAAACCTTAGACGTCTTGTGATCAAAGTAAAAAAGATATTTTAGACTAAAGGAAAGGTAGCCAAACATTTTCAGTCCATCACATATAGTACTGACATGAATGGCACACAACTTCTGTTACTGTGCACAATTTATTTTTTGTGATGCAACTTTACAGGAAACAATCATGTAGATGTACAATACATACGCAGTCATATGAGTGGAATGTATAAAGTCAATTCCAAGTTAGAATACAGACATTACTTAAATTTGTTTAATATCCTTATTGATATTTACAGTTGAATGTTTGAGTTATTGTTCTTTTTCTGTGCTGCATTCTGGATGCACATAATGTAACTATGATGACAACTACATAGTTACAAATATTAAAATCAGCACTGCATGTGTGAAAATTGTTGAAAAGTTTCTCTGTATTTGTCACTAGACTTGCCTGCAAAATTTGACTGAATCCAAAAAGAACTGCAGCAAATTTTTGACTGACATGTTCCTCATGAAAGGTATTTGATCATTATCTTTGTTTTTTGTTGTATTAATACAATAACCTAAACAAGTCATTACTTTCACATAAATATTTTTAAAACACTTGAAGGAAGTCCATATACCTCTTTCCTTACCTCTATTTTCTTGAATTATAATAAGATCTGATACATGAATATATATATGACACCAGTTTCAAGATGTAAATTTATGAGCAATGCTGTATGCCCTTATGGCGTGTTCTGTTGTGACTGTGTTCTCTGCCTTGTAACGACCAGGAACCTCCGTTGTTTTGTAAACAGGTTACTGCTCAATATAAAGCTGCTTTATCTAAAACTATCATGATGTACAATGAATAAAGGGTCTGCTAAAACATACAGAATCGACTTTTCTTGTCTTAGAGTACAGGCAAAAAAGTACAAGGAGATGAACTAAACATGGTTGGTTCATATGCAATAAGAAAATAACTTTATCTGTAATTTTGTTGTGACGATAAATTTATTACACAATTATATTATATTATATAAGACAGCTCCTTTTCAGAGGACTAAACTAGTCTGTAAGAGACCAGGATTAGAATACATACCCAAACTGTCTTTACATTGAACCATCGGTTGAATCTTTTCGATGTAAATGGACGAGCAATCTTGCCTGGTGTATGCCCTTAGAGCCTGTTCCGTTGTGACTCTGTTCTCGGTAAAGTTTCTGGTGGAATGGTGGTAACACTCGACGTTGTAATGACCAGGAACTTCGGTGTTTTGGTGAACAGGCTTCCCTTGCACCTCACTGACACCATAGGTTGTTGTGCTCATAAAGTGATGATGGTACCTATAGTGTCCAGGTACTTGATGATGATGATGATGATGATGACTGGTTTATTAGAGACTCAAATTCAATATATACACAGACCCAAACTCGCAGGCAAATTTCTAGTGGTTGCCTGAATTGCGTTGGTGGTCCGAATACATAAAATGTCATTAACGTATTACTACATGCTATCACATAAAAACATTATTCCTTACTCCTATATTGTTGCAGATTCGTATTAATTATAAATAATCTTTTACTTTAAATATTGCACATTAGTATACTTCTGTGTTTTGACAGACAGGCCTTCCTTGCCTTTCACTAAAACCATGGACATTTGTGCCCGTGTTCTCGCCAACTGTGGTAGAATCCTGGTAACGCGCAATGCTGTAATGTCCAGGTACTACTGTGTTTTGGCGGATAGGCATCTCGAGATCTTGTCCCTCATGAAAACCACAGACAGTTGTGCCCATGTTCTCCCCAACAGTAGTGGGATCCTGGTAACGCGCAATGCTGTAACGTCCAGGTACCTCTGTGTTTTGGCGGATAGGCATTCCTAGCCTCTCACTGAGTCTGACAACATGTTCACTCCCCATGTTCTCCACAGTAGTAGTTGGATGAATGTGACGCTCTATTCTGTAATTCCCAGGCCCCTCGGTGTTTTGAAAGACAGGCTATGAGACCATAGGCAACCTAGTAAATTTGAGGAAAATGGGACATTGGTAGGGGACGCGCAATATGCTAAATGTGTAACGTTAGTGGGGTATGGGATTGGTACCACTCATTGAGGAGAAAGTAACTTTGAGGAGAAAGCAACAGCAAAAGGAAACTATGAGAACTTCGATTTAAAACATGGCTTGGAACAATTAAAAGTTGGAAGTACAATTCACCGTGGTTAGCTGGATAGCCCATGCAGGATGTCGGATGTCGATGGTTGGTGTAGTCAAGGTTTTTGCAAGGTATATCGCTGGTCCCTTCGCGGAAGTCGCTCAGCTTATAGTGTTGGCTCACAACTCACGGGCACGCACACATACACCTTTTGCGCGGTCGTCCCCAACCGGATGATGCAAACCTGCATGTCGTCCCCGGCCCCAACCTGATTCATTGTCGATGGTTAAAGTTGTTTACTCTAGATTGTGCGGGGAATCCCCTCTGCGGAGACGACCAATCGGGACGTTTTGTCATGAACAATCATTGTCGATGGTTAAAGTTGTTTACTCTCCCCATGTGTGCGTTGTCACACAGGTGGAGACCTCGAACACATGGGGAGAGTAAACAACTTTAACCATCGACAATGATTGTTCATGATTAATGATAAGCAACTTAACCCTGGCTCACCGACTGGCTGACAGATATATGACCTTCGAGTCCCCGCGCAGAGGAATGCGCCCAACCCAACCTGTTCATGGTTACAATACCAGCTAAGTATCAAACCCGCTTACGAAGCAACGCTTCAAGCTCTTTGCACTTGAAACCTACTGCCCTACATAGAAACACTTAATGTGGGAGTTGAAAGACAACCCCAAATGAACCCTGGCACCCCCGGGAATCGAACCCGCGACAGCCAGCTTGTTGGTAGCTTGGGGAGCTTGGGGAGCCAACACTCCTAATTTTGTCTGACCATATTTTTCTTTCACAATTTTTTTTTTATTTTAGGCCAAGAGGTCCAGGACCCGTGAGACGAGTCAGTTAGTAGCCTCTTGAAACCTCAGTGTTACAATGACTGCGGCGGTTGGTTTTCGCTGGGAGAGCTGTATCGGGCCCTGTATAGTGTACAGCTATCGTGTCGGACCCCTTCGCACCGTGCAGATTCGGGATGGTCTGCTGTCGCCTGTCACAGTCACACAGAAACTTCCTATCAAAATGTCCAACAATACTATATACATTTTTGGAGGCCCAAGGAGGTTATAGTGTACTCTACATGTATAACCTTCTTGATATGCCTTATATGCCGCGTGAATACGATGTACGCCCCAAAAAATAAATCGTCATGCTCTCATTTTAAACCTCCAGCAGGTTGAAACAACGCAGACCGCTACACTTGAAGTCTGCACAGGAGGTGGCAGAAGGTTATGTTTTCGGCGGCGTTGGTGTATCTGTGTGTGTGTGTGTGTGTGTCACCACGATAACTCTAGAATGCTAAGATGTATTGTCTTGATATTTGGTAGGTGGGTAGGTCTAAATGAGACCTAGAAATGATTAGATTTTGGGCCCCCTAGCGGCTTTCCATGGTACTGCAGCTGAACTTCTGGTTTTGATATCTCGTGATCTGTAGATGCTAGTGTCACGAATTTGGGATGGTAGATAGCTCGTGGGCTAGGGAAGAAGTGACATAAGTTTGGGCTCCCTAGCAGCCTGCCCCGGAACTGCAGGGGCGTTTGTTGAATAAAATAAAAGGGCGATAACACAAGAACCAGTTGACGAATCGCCATGATTTTTGGTATGTAGGTAGCTTGAGTGATGCTTGACATAACTATATGGCAATTATGCTAATCTGGATGTAATTTGCATAATCAATTAGGAAATTCTATAAATAAGCTGCATTCCGTGATAGGACTATTCAACCTTGTGACATATGTAATTGACAACGAAAGAAACTTAGGCAGATATTAGACTCAGATATTACACTCAGATATTAATTATGTAAATGAAGACCTGATTTGCATAATTAATGAGAAAATGTTATGATTCGATAATGCTAACTGCCTGGAATTTAATACTAGGAGTAATTGAAATTTAAGTAAAGGTGAACATCATAAAACATAAATTATGCAAATGTTGACCTCATTTGCATGATTTATGAGGAAATGCTAGATTGGCATTCTTTGTTAAGATAAGACTGTCTTTGGGTGGATAATATGATCAACCGATACAATTCATGCAAATTAGAATCCTATTTACATAATCAGGGAGAATAATCTATAATTCGTCAGTCATAAAGGTTAACATCACTTGGCGAAGGTATGAGCTCGTGGAACTCTAGTTTTCAGCTACGATGGACCCTTTTGACGTTTGAGCGCGTGCATGTGAGTATGGTGAGGATAACGGCCGTACCTGTACTAGTGGTGGTTATGACCACCCGACCATTGTCATATGGGTCTCATTTTATCAAATTGTTATGCCCATTGTGTTAAACCAAGGAGGTTAAATCAAGGCACAATTTATTAACAGATGGATATCTGTCGTATTTAAACCTCCTTGGTCAGAATACTGTCATTCGTTTCCAGTCACCACTGTTCTCTCAGTTCTCTGACCGAAAACAAGGGTCCCAAGCCAACCAAAGACAGTGAACATTATGCAAAGGGTAATATCGGCCTTATTAGTATGCGCCTCAAGGAGGTTTAAACTCTGATATGTAAACCTCCTTGTTCATCAGATATATTAAATAGTCAGACCCACCGATCGATCGATC